AATGATAGAGACTTAAATACTCCCAAAAAAGAACAAGATCAAAATAATCATTTTAATAAACATTATAGACTAATTTTAACACGAGGTCTTTATCTTTAGAATTAAGCTATCATTTTCATGCAAAAACTCGGGCTTAATGCATCAATGTTTCTATCCCAACAGCACCAAACTACTCGTTCATGCACAATGCAACATCAGCACCAAACTTGTCATTTTACGACTACATAGTTGTCGGCGATGGGACTGCCGGCTGCCCCTTAGCTCCCACACTATCTCGAAAGGCCAACGTCTTGCTCCTTGAACGCCGTGGACACCCCTATGGTGACCCCAACATCACTAAATTGGCCAACTTCCGTGCTTCCCTCTCTGACCTTTCCCAGCGGTCCCCATCGCAGCGGTTTATTTCCACGGACGGCGTCATTAATGCACGAGCGCGCGTGTTGGGCGGCGGAAGTTGTCTGAATGCAGGGTTTTACACACGTGCCGCCCCCCGAATATGTCAGGTACTGAGTTTGCACCGATTAGCATTATTTACCATTGTTTTTGCAGCGAATGCATGTGTTATGTTGTTATCTTTAGGCAAGTAGGGTGGAATGGACGACTAGTGAATGAGTCATACTAATGGGTCGAAAACTTAAGTGGCGTTTGAGCCACCGATGGGGGAATGGCAGTCAGCAGTGAGAGATGGTCTGATAGAGGTCGGGGTGATGCCATTCAATGGCTTCACCTTTGACCATATTAATGGAACCAAAGTTGGTGGAACAATATTTGATGAACAAGGGAACCGGCACACGGCAGCTGATTTATTGATGTATGCTAACCCTGGGGCTCTTACTGTCCTCTTGTATGTAACTGTGCACAGAATTTTGTTCAGAAGCAAAGGTAACATTATCTCATAGCCACCACCACAAATTCTCTCCATCATCAGATATGTAACTTGAGTTTGGTTTCTAATAACAGGTAAAAGCAGGCCAATGGCTCATGGATTGATTTTCTGAGACGAAACAGGGGCTCAACATAAAGCTTGTCTTAAACGTGGGTCTAAAAATGAAATCATTTTATCTGCCGGAGCACTGGGAAGCTCGCAGTTGTTGATGCTGAGTGGGATCGGACCAGCAGCTCATCTTCGGTCGCATAATATCAGGGTGGTGTTAGACCAACCAATGGTCGGCCAAGGCATGTCTGATAACCACATGAACGCCGTCTTTGTCCCGTCCCCTCTTCCAGTTGAGGTTTCACTTATCCAAGTAGTTGGCATTACAAATTTTGGAAGCTACATTGAAGCTGCTAGTGGTGAAAGCTTTACTACTTCTAGCCTTGCTTCCTCTTCAAGATTTTATGGCATGTTCTCACCTAAGGTATAATAAGTTTTGTAAGCCACTCATTTAAAGCATATTTTTGGTCCTTAGGGTGCGTATAGATGGGGGATTGTGAGATTACTGGGGGGAAGGTTTTTTCCAGAACATGATACCCATGTTTGGATCGCAAAGATTCTCATAAGGGGTAATAAGTCATTCCCAACAGTGTCATTTTGGGGATTATTACCGGAAATATCATTCCTCTCAATCTCTTAGGTATTATTCTTTTCTTATGACTTTGGACTAAAATGCCCTTAAAACAATTTTTTTTTTTAAAATATCCTTCAACTAACCGTTGAATAAAAATAATTACGAATGGTAAATTGCAAATTTATCCTTAAACTATTTTAGATTTACAAAAAAATCCACAATTAGAATTTTATATGAAGTTTAGGGGTTAAAATAAAATTAAACTCTTTCATTAAACTAATTTATCTTTTAAATTTTGTAGAAAAAAATTATATAAATTTTATGAATTTAAAATTTTTAAAGAAAATATATAAATTAAAAATAATAAAATTATATATTTTCTATGATCTTTTATACAAATATTTTCTTTTGAATATTAGAATTCAACTTGTTTAAAAAACAAATATATAACGAGGATAATTTGATAAAATATATATTACAGTAATCTTTTATTCTTTTAACCAAACATTGTAATCTTATATTTCTGCTAAACAAACCAAACACAACAATGCAACATTCTCAGTAATGTGTTAGGTAATGTTATATTCCGATAATCTTATTCCCGATAATAATGTTATATTTCATGAACTAAACGCACCTAAGTTTAAAATATTAAACTTCAATACTTTGCCCTCAATTTGCTATGCAGATTGGCCGGTTATCTACAGTGCCACCTAAACAAAGGACCCCAGAAGCTATTGCCGAAGCTATTGAATACATGAACAGTCTTGACCAAATAGCTTTACAAGGTGGATTCATCTTGGAAAAAATCATGGATCCAATTTCAACAGGCCATTTGGAGCTTCAAACCCGAGATCCGAACGACAACCCGTCTGTCACCTTCAATTATTTCAAGGATCCTCTAGACCTTTAAAGATGTGTTCAAGGGATTGAAACTATAAGGGAAATCATTGAATCAGAGTCTTTCTCTAGATTCAGACAGGATTCTGTGTCTTGGCAAGAACTTCTCAATATGACCGAATTTTCCCCCATAAATTTGTTGCCTAAACATTACAACCCCTCAATGCCACTGGACGTGTTTTGCAGAGACACAGTGATGACTATATGGCACTATCATGGAGGCTGCCAAGTTGGTAGGGTTGTTGATCTTGATTACAGGGTTTTCGGTGTCGATGCTCCAAGGGTTATCGATGGATCCACCTACAACTACACGCCTGGGACTAATCCTCAAGCCACTGTCATGATGCTTGGAAGGTACTATTACTTGGCATAAAAAGGCAGGATTATGTTGGGTTTTTAATTGACGTTTTCTGTTTCATGTGATGCAGGTACATGGGTGTGAAGATATTGAGTGAGAGATGAGCCAATTAAGAATCCAAGTGATTCATTGTGGTTTATATTTATTTCTTTTGATTAAGACATGATGTTCTTGGCTTGTTATTAAGCATTAAGTGGTCCAAATGTTGAGGTCTTTAAGTTAAACCATTTGTCAGAAGTTTCATTTATGGATATTTGGCGTTGAGACTTGAGAAATATTTTTGTTGTTCAATTGTTTTGCCTTATGATAAACTGGTCCAATGATCCATAACAGATCAAAATGTAGAAGAACAATAAATCAAAACATAATTTGATCATCCAAAAATTTTAATACTCTTTTTTTAATATAATGGGTATGCAAAAAAAAAATCCCTTCTTCCTTTAATGTATATATTTCATATCTAATCTAAAATAATGGTTATGTATTTGGCCACCTACGGGGTTATATGCATCCACCCCTGCTTGTGATAGTGTAAGAATGATAATAACGAATGTAAAACAATTGTAAAATAAAAAACATCAAGATTTACGTAGAAAAACCTTTTCAAAAGAAGAAAAAAAAATCTTGAAAAGAAAGAAAATCAATATTCAGAATTTGTTGTTACTTCTTCATCTTCTCATCCTCCTCCATTGCACTCACTTTCCTTGGAATCTGCATTTTTGACATATCCCCACAAGCCAGTAAACCTGAATTCTCAGCTATTATATGGTGGTGAAGAGTCGAAATTTCGATCCAGTATCAGTAAACGGAGTATGGCATTCATGGATATCTCAGAAGCTGATTACAGCATGGTTTACTTTTCAAATCAATCCGCTGTTTTCAATCACCTAGCAGAGTCTTATCCATTTTTGTCCAGTCGAAATCTTCTGACGGTTTATGGCCATCAAAATGAGGTCTTAGAGGTGATGATTGAGAGCTCAAAGAAGTGAGGAGAAAATGTTATGTCGGCTAGTTTTTCGTGACTTAATCGACAAATACATGCAGAAAACTTGAGAAAGAAGATAGTGAGTACAACTGTACAAGCAAGCGCAAGAAGAAAGCCAAAGGCCTTACCTTTTTTTTCCACTGCGATCAAGGGTTACAGGGCCAATATATCCATATCTGTGGATGAGCCTGGCTTAGGAGAACGGGAGACGTGTTGCTTGATGGATCTGCATTGGGAGCTAAGGATATGGACACCTTGGGGCTTTTTATCTTTTACCCCGGCTTCCTAATTTGTTCATTTTCAAGGTTTTTGGAGAAAACCCATTAGGATTCTGTTGCTTGTATGTCAAGAAATCCAATGCTCCAGTTCTGAACGATTCAGCCATTGAATACAAGCTTGGGGGTAGTGAATCTTGACCCATACTCCGAGTATCATGGCCAACTGGAATCCCTGAAAAACCAGCTATAATTTCCAGCACTGAAACCAAAAAGGTGGATGAATCTCCGATTCAAGCTTCATTCTCATGCCCCATATCTGAAACAGGTGGTGAAGTACAAAAACCTGAAGGAACCAAATCAGCAAAGAAGACATCATTTTCTGAAATTAAAAAAAAAAAGTAATTGGTGCATCATTTGAATGTGGTAGAACCAACAATACCATTCAAAGCAAAAACCCGATACCCCGAATGTAGAATCTTGGATCATGCAGATACATTAGACGTTATAAAAAATAAAGAGCAGGACAATGAGCCACATCAACTGGTTGGTTAATGCATTTATGAGCCTTCAATATCCACGTTCAGAAAATGAAGTTTCTGTTGTGAGAATCTATGGACCCAAAGTAGACTTCGACCGAGCACCCACTATTCCATTTAATGTGTTCGACGGGAAATGAGAGAAGATCGATCTTGCATTGCCACAAAAGCTGGCCGATAGAAACAAATTTCATTTAAAGGAATTTTGCAGCACATTTGGATCTCGGATAAGCATGAAGAAGAGGAAGTAAAAATTAAGTTTGTATAAAATGTCAGGGAATAATTCATCATTGGTTTCTGTCTAGCACAGTCTTTAGGGAGGAAGGCTATTAACCTTGCTTTCGTTGGTTCGAGATGAGCCCCACGGTTGGTGCTTTTGATTTTTACTTAATTATTGGTCGTTTCGTTTCAAATTGAATATTGTACGACGTCGTTCTATACACATAAAAAACATCTTGTTATTTTTGTCTTCGCTTTCTCAAGTCTCAGCAGTCCTCTGCCAATCTTCTTAAAACCCTAACCCTAAAGATAAATCCCTCAAAACAAATCAAATCCAAAAGAACAAAGAAAAGGAAGTTAAAACTTGAACGAAGATGCCGAACCTTGAATGTCGTATGTACGAAGCGAAGTACCCTGAGGTGGATATGGCGGTGATGATACAAGTGAAGAATATTGCCGACATGGGTGCCTATGTTTCTCTCCTCGAGTACAACAACATCGAAGGTATGATCTTGTTCTCGGAGCTCTCCCGCCGTCGGATTCGTAGCGTTAGCAGTCTAATCAAAGTGGGCAGAACAGAGCCCGTGATGGTCCTACGTGTCGATAAGGAAAAGGGTTACATTGATTTGAGTAAAAGGAGAGTTAGCGAAGAAGATATTCAGGTTTGCGAAGAAAGGTATAACAAGAGTAAGCTTGTTCACTCTATTATGCGACATGTGGCCGAGACGTTGGATATTGATTTGGAGGTAATTTATCTATTTTTTCTTTGTTTCATTTTTAAATTCGAGAATATTTTTTAGTGATCTATGGTCTATGGTACTTATAGTTTTCTAAATTTGGATAATATGCATATTTTTTCTCATGCTGTGCGGATTGTGATTTGAAAGTAATTTTGGGGTTTTCTTGGTTGATTGAGGGGATTTTGATCATTGTTTTTTGGGTTTTTTCTTAGAAAATTTGGTTCGGTTGACGTCATCTGAGAATAATGGTACTTGCCAATTGTTTTCTGACTTAATGTCTATGAGGAGAATGCGTGTTTTCCTTACATAAACATGATAATCAGAAAGTAAATTGGCTGGTTTCCAAATTTTTTGTAATTTTGTAATTTTTTGTAACATGATGCGAATTATTTTTTCACAGGAGTTGTACATTAAAATCGGTTGGCCACTATACCGGAAATATGGGCATGCTTTTGAAGTAAGAATCTGCCGTTTTCGAAGTGTTTTATTGTTTACACATTGGTATCATGGCCCTAATATTTATGTTTGCAGGCATTCAAAATCATTGTGACTGATCCTGATTCAGTCTTGAACGCCCTCACCTGCGAAGTCAAAAAATCTGGCCCAGATGGACAGGAGGTAGTTTTTATTTGTAAGATTCATGCATTCAGTTGGATTGAATCTTCAACCATTTCTTTCTTTAGGTGACTGAGGTGGTTCCTGCCGTAACTGAGGAAGTCAAAGATGCTTTGGTAAAAAACATTAGGAGAAGAATGACTCCACAACCTCTGAAGATTCGGGCTGACATTGAAATGAAATGTTTCCAGTTTGATGGTGTTCTTCACATTAAGGTATTATTTTTTAGAAATTCTCTCTGCTTTTTTTGTTGGTAACTGATGTTATTTCTTTTGAATTTGCAGGAGGCCATGCGCAAAGCTGAGGCAGCTGGGAATGAAGATTGCCCTATTAAAATCAAGCTTGTTGCTCCTCCACTTTATGTTCTTACCACTCAAACCCTTGACAAGGTTAGCTTAATGTCTCTTTTCATCTTTGTTTTACCTGCCTTGGAAGTTTCTGCCTACAGCTTTAGTTCTGAAATCTGAAAGCATTTGCATGAACATACTATACTTGTACGGTATTATCTTCTGTTAATCATCGTGATTCCCGTCCAAGATTGTTTCCCCTGTTGGAGTTTCCATTTTTGCTACCCCGTGCCAAATTCATCTGCTGATATTGCCGTTACAACGGTTACATGCATGTCTGTCTAGCATTTTCCCCCTTTCTGAGTTATGTAATTCTTTATTGTGTGTTGCTCAGGATCAAGGTATAGCTACTCTCACTAAAGCAATTACAGTTTGCACCGAAGCTATAGAGTATCACAAGGGAAAACTTATTGTCAAGGAACAACCTAGAGCAGTGAGTGTCCATCTCATTTCAGATTTGTCGCTAGTCTTTGTTGCTTGGTTGAAAATTTTATTCTTTCTCCGGATTGTCTCACATGTTGGATTGATATTTAGGTGAGCGAACGAGATGATAAATTGCTTGCCGAGCACATGGCTAAGTTGCGTAATGATAATGAAGAGGTAAGTGGTGATGAAGATAGCGAAGAAGAGGAAGACACGGGCATGGGCGAAGTTGATGTTGAAAATTCAGGTCAGGGAATAATGGAATGATGCTGCAGCGGCGGCGATAATGAACATGATTGGTTCACCCTTTTCTTACCAAAACCCCTTTTTTTGTCCCCTTTTTCCAGGAAGTTGAAAACCTCTTTAAAAGTATGGTCATGTTGAGTTATTTTGCTAATATTGGATTTTAATGGAGAGTATACAGATGTATTCAAAATCTTTGAAGGTGGGCTTGTTCAATTAGTTGCTTACCGTGAATGTTGCAATATGGTTAGCGTCCCTGGTAAACAAAATCGACAGTTGCAGGGTTTTAATTTAACCTTCTCTTTGATTTATTGTATCATTAACTAAACAACTAATGTTGGTTAACAGTGAGGGTCAACTTGTCCACTTAAACAAAGGACATACAAAATTTGATTTGATTCGATTCGGAATAAAAAATTAAATTATTTTATTTGATTAATTTAAGTTGTTTAATTTTTTCAATTCAAGTTGGATTAAATTTTACAATTCCAATTAGTCATAGAATAATATGTCATGATTGAAAGTATATTATGTTAAACTTCATAATCTAGTGGTGTATTGTTTACAGTATATTACATTTTATATACGTTTCGACTCCCTTAACTTTACGAAGATTACTTGAACTATAACTTGGTCTATTAACTTGAATTTTACTCTCTCGTTAAGGTTCCAATAATTTATTGATCTCTAAGACATATAATCATAAAATAAAGACATATCGATACATCAAATTAAAATCAAATACATGGAATGAACATGCATAGATCTTAACCTTGTTTTAGGATTTGAAGATTTGTTGCCAAAGTTGGAAACTAAGAATGGATGGTACCAGTTGATAGATTAAGCCTTGGAACTAAGGATGGGGCTTAAACGAATGGAGCAGAAGCTGGTAAGATTAAGCCCGTAGGGCATACGGAACATGTTGTTGGGTCATTTTCACTGTTCATTCGGGTACGACTGAAGACCATGTTTCCCATTTCTCCCGCATCCTATAAACATGCAGAGTCGAATTGATTACTCAACTCTGGAAAGCTTGAGCTTACAATAACGGACTTAGGAGACATAGGCAGAGGCATAACCTGCCAGGGATGGACAGAGGGGCAGAAGCGAAATTGAAAATTTATGATAGTGAGAGTTAAAATATTTTTTATTTTTCATAAATATATTTTTTTAATCGATAGGCCTAATAAATTTTATTATTATTTTTTAAATATATATTTTTCTATATCGATTAATAATTAAAAATACAAATGGCGAGGCCAAGGTTCCCTTACCCTCCCCTGGTTCTGCCCATATCGAGGGGATAGGTAGGATAATCATTCCCTAAAAATTTAAAATTATCATATATATATATATATATTATAATTTTTTTATATATACTTTCTATTAAAAATATATCTTTACCAATAAAATTTTAATTCATTCCCCTAATTTTAAATTCACCTTTCAACATAAAATCTTATATTCCTACCTTACAACCTACCATTGTCCCATTTGTTTTTAGAAATTCGGTTCAGCAGCTTACACACATCTCAACCACAAATGCATTGCACTAATTGATTTCCAAGTCAACGAATCATTCATTAAATTAGTTGCTTTCCACCCCTCCTCCCCGGCTGTCAAAATCATAGAGTTCTTATTAGCCCCGAGCAAAAACTACAGGTGAATGTCTCAGGAAAGGCGGGTTAATATACGGTTAATATACAGCATTACCGGATACATTAAAATGTATTTAATAAATTCGGTTTAGCGGTACCTATTATGTTGACAACTAATAATGTTTTAGGTAAAAAAATATGAAAAACTATTAAAAAATTTGGTAACCGGTAAACTTTGGTTATCGGTAAGTATCTATCCTTTTTATAAAAGTGTCCATACTTTTAACATATCAAGTAAATTTTACCGGTTTTGTCATAATGAATCTAGTTTTGTCATATTTTTTACCTGTTATATTGTAAATTATCTATCCTTTTTATAAAAGTGTCCATACTTATTTCACTGTGAAAATATATTTATTATTATCTTTAGTTAATATTGTTAAATTTAAAATCTAAATAATATTTTATAAAATATCAAAACAATCAAATAATTTTTTGTGTAAATGAAATTATTAAATTAATATTGTAGGTGGAAAACATGAAACACTATTAAAAAAATTGAAACATAAATTACATAACTTTCAAAAAAGTATATATCATTTTTATAAAAGTGTCCATACTTATAAAAGTAGGTCTAAGTCATGAAGAAATATTAAAAAATTGTGCTACCGGTTCGTGTCGATCCAAATTAAAAATGTGTCGATCCAAAACGATATAACAAGTAAAACTATGACAAAACCGGTATAGAAATGATAAAACTGGTCAAGCGCTACCGGATACATTTAAAGTGTCGGTACTTTAATATAAGGATCGACACTTCGTGAATTTAAAAGAGAAGCAGTTTTAAATCCTATAAGTGTCGATACTTTTAAAAATGTATCGATCCAAAACGATATACCAGGTAAAAATATGATAAAACCGGTAACAAAATGATAAAACCGTAAAACGTTACCAGATATATTAAAAGTGTCGATACTTTATATAAGGATCGACACTTTGTGAATTTAAAAGAGAAGCAGTTATAGCGCCTATAATGTGTCGATACTTTAAAAAAATATATCGATCCACAACGATATAACAGGTAAAAATATGATAAAACCGGTATCAAAATGATAAAACCGGTAAAATGATACCGGATATATTGAAAGTGTCGATACTTTCGTAAGTACGTGTAATAAATTATCGACACTTTCAAGAAATAGGTAATTATCCTTTCGAAAGTATCGACACCTGACATAAAGTATCGACACTTTTGTATTTGTATCGATTAAATATAAATAACATATCCGATGAAAATATAAAGGCCATAGCTAAATATCCTCTGAAAAAAGATAGAACGGACGAGTTTTTGAAATCGAAGCGTAATTGTTGCTGCATTTCAGAAGGCGTTTCTAAAGCGAAGTTTGTTTGTTTGTTGCTGCAGTCGAATCGAAAAGTATGTTGTCGAAACCCTAATTTTTTATTATTACAGTAATCGCGATAGGGTTTTTTATGTGTTGTTTGGGGTTTTGGAGTAAGGAAGCATTTGAGACCGATTGCAGGTAGAAATAGATATTCAAGGAAAAATATAAATGTCGATACTTTTATTAAATATTATAGGTAGAAAATGATATTATAGGTTGTATAAATGTGCCGACACATTTTGGTGTGGTCATTCAAATTCTTTGAAGAAAACCGTTTTACCACAAGAGTAGTTATCTATATTTGTATATTGAATAAAGTGTATGTAACAAATAATTTGATTTGCGTAAACTGATATATGAAGGAAAAATGGAGTCAATGGGTTGGAAAATTGTTGGTGGAGCATATGACTTTGAAATTGAGGCCGAGACTCGAAAGCAACCAAAGGGTGGATATATGTACTTCTAGTAAGTATCAATGTCTTTTTGTTATTATTGTTGAAATGGTAATTGGATTAAAGTATCGATAAACTTTAAATTGATTACAAATTTTAAATGTTAACAGTATGGCCGAATGCAAAAGGATGAAGGGAGATGGCACACAGAGTGGTTCGGTATGTAAAATGAAATTGACATTGAGTAGTATTAGTATTTAGTGTTAATGTATTGATTAAGAAACGTTTATGTTTAATATTAGGTGAAAAAAGATGTGAGGTCCAAATGGAATTCAATGAGTGATGCTGAAAAGGAACCTTACATCACACAGTCAAGGAATGATAGTAAAGAATACAAAGAACGGAGGAAAGCACATGAAAATAAGGTATTCATTAAACTTGTAAATACGTTGATACAAAAATATAAGAACTATAACATTATATATTGTTAAAAAATGTAGGAAGTGTCGACAAGATGCAGCACTAAAAGGGTGAATTTATTAATTAAACACCTTAAGGAGAAGGGTCAGTTGAATGTGCTGGGAGAAATAGGTTTTGGATCGTTGATCGGAGTAAGGGATCGACCTATTCGGAGGGAATTGTGTCGATCCTTGATGGCACAATTTGACGTCAGTCAATGTATGGCTAAGTATGGTGATTATTCATTCCCTCTGGGGTATCGACTGCTGCAGCCGTCTTGGGGGTACAAAACAAAGGCAAAAGTGTTATAGAAGTCTGTAGGAGTAAGAACTGGAAAGCACTTGCCTCCAATATGGTTTGAATCATAAGGTGACATATGCTGAAGTTGAAGAGGATATCAAAAGTGGATCTTACTGGGGGGATGAGCTGAAGGCCCGAGTTCTATTGTACCTTGTCGGGATATTTCTTTGTCCAACGGGTGATACGTCAACGAACAAGGAATATATGAAGCTCATTTGCGATGAAGGCTTGAAGGGTGAATTCAATTGGGTTGAATATATCCATTCGAGATTGATTGAATCAATAATCACCTTTAAAAAGGGCAGCCATAGATACCTCAAAGGGTGCATAGCAATCTTAGAGGTAAATGAGTTGAATCACTTTTTTGTGTTTTTATATAAAAATATAAATTTTATTATAAATGCAGGTTGCACTGTTCGATTTTTGGTCGGGCTGTGAGGCAGTGCCGGCTTATGAAAGAACCGGAGTGGCACGCATCCGTGCATGGGGGAAGGAAGAGGTGGTTAGAGTGATGGTGAAGTTGAAGTTGGATAGAGGGAAGAAGCAAGAAATGGTAATAAATGTAATTAAATAATATTAAGAATATAATCAATGTCTCAATATTGTAATTTAATTTTGAAGGTTATTGGCAAGGATGTAGAGGAGGCAGAGGAGAAGAAAGGAGGGATGGTTGTATTGGGGGGATGACGGTGAGTAGGACGACGGTGAGGGAAAACATAGTAACTTCGACATTTTAATGTCTGAATTGGCTGATATCAAAAAAATCCAATTTGAAATCATGCAAAGACAATCAAGAGTCGAAGAGAAACTTGATCGAGTCGTAGAGAAACTCGAGAGAGTCGAAGATACACTTGAGAGGCATAAGGGGGTAGTGGAAGGAAAAATAGATGGAGTGGTGAAAGAAGTAGAGGTGTTGAGGGGTGAAGTGGTGAAAGAAGTTGGGGTGATATTAAGATGGTGACGGGAGAAAAATTTGAGGGAGTGGTGAAGGAGGTTGTGGATTTGAGGAGTGAACTTACGGGGGTGAAGGGGGTGGTTGATAAATACTCGGATGAATGAGCTCAAT